TTTTTTAATATTTATTTTTTTATTTATAAAACTTAAATTTAAGATTTTATTAAAAAAAAAAAAAAAACAAACAAAACAAAACTCTTTCTCCTCCTCAAACAAACAGATGGTTGTCGAAGGTTTAGAAACAAAAGAACAAGAAGATGGATAGATAGTGGATCAAGTGCTGTTCAATCGACCCATTTTCTTAAATCCATCGACAGATATCAAAGGCCAGCCCAAAATTTCGTTCTGCATAATTGATGCATATTATTTGGGTTTATAAGGGCCATGGTCTCTAGACCATTTTAACAATTACAATGGAAATGAGTGAGAAAAACGCAAACGCAGCCAACCACCAAGTCGGTGTTACAAGTAATCTTCATCCTTTTAGAGCTAAATTAAATGTCTTGTGTCTAAATTGTCTTGTATAGACTAGTGGAGTGAACGATGAAACTTAAGAGCATTGCCTCCTAATTCTATGGCAAAGAAAAGAGAGAAAGTAACCTACTCTTATTTTACACCTATTTGATTTGAGATTTTTAATAATTGAGTTGATGAGATACATTTTCCCCGAGTATAAGAGGTGGTTTAAATTTATTATTCCAAAAAAAAAAAACCTACCGAGCAAGAGAAAATTAGAAAAGGGTAAAAGAAGAATAAAGGATAAAACAGAAAAGGCATGAAGAATCTTAGCTTATGTCATCTCCATAGATGTGTATTGTTTTATCATGCTTTTCATCTTTAATAGTTTCATATTTGTCTTATTATTATTATTTTTTTGGTATATTTGATGATAACAAATTATATAAAAATTAATACTTTTTAAAATGTTTTTTTTATTTAATTTAAAATTAAAATTTTTAATTTTTAATTATTAAACCACTCTTGATGAAATTATCTAGTGACACAATACCTCTTAAAGGAGTGCAGAGGAAGTGGGAGAAATTAGGTGAGTCAATGTGGCCAAAAAGAATGAAAGAGAAAAAGAAAAAGGAAAACAGAATCATTGAAATTTCAAAGTCATCTTTGTTGCCAATTAATTAAATATTTTTTAATAATTAAGGTATTTTTGAGTTAATTTGTGCACATTTTAAGTTTAATTTTTCTTGAATTTAGTTAAATATAAATCATTTAGTTTAAATTAAAAAATTCATAAGAAATTACTTTCTCTTTTATTTTCTAAAAAATTAGACTTTAATTAGTAGGGTAAAAAATAAATACTTTTATCAATTAAATTACAATTCATTAACTGGCGTGTAATTACACAGTTATTGGTTGGCATCTATCCCTCAATTCATGAATTTCTTTTCCTAACTTTACGCTTGTAGGCATATGTAAGTCCAATTCCAAGGTTTTTGGGGTGGAGGTGGAAGTTCCAAAAGATAACTGACATTCCATGGTTTTACTAAAGAAGATTATGGTTTAACTTTCACATATTACGCATTAAACAGAATAGATGTCCATGATTGGCACTTAAATTGAAACCCTAAAGAGAGACTAGTAATGCAATAAGAAAGGTATTTTTTCCTCTTTTTTTTTTTTTTTCAATTTTTATTGTTTTTTCACTATGGTTAGGATTTTTTAATTTGAGGATTTCAATGTAAGTGGGTATTTTGTTACTCGAGGTATATTACTTTAGATGACATTATTTCATTTTTATTATAAAATTAAATTAAATTAAATTAAAATTTCCCATTGAATTAAAGGAAGGAGAGAGAAGTGTGGTTATCATAGGACATTGGCGCTAGGATTGCATGTCTCACATGCGCATATTTCCATTAAATCTGTCTTTATTTGTCACCTAAGTATAAAAAGTGTCCTTAATTGTAAGTAATGAAAGATATCCCCTTGATTGCAAAGTAGTCAAAACTTGTATTTACTATTTTTTTTTATATAAACCCAATTTATTACACCTTTAAAATTAAAACCCAGAGAAAATTTTATTCTCCGAAAAAAAAAAAAAAACCAAAGATAATTTCTGCTGCAGTCTTTCATGAAGTGTATGTTCATGGAAGAAGAGCAGAAGAACAATGCATTCTTCCCTCTACTAAAAAACATTCAAGACCCAAATACCAAAATGTCTATTGATTTCAATGATGCAGAGGAGACACAAAACGGAAAAGCAAAGAAAAACGAAATCAACCAACATGGACCCCTTCATTCAAATGGGAGGACTTCACCCCTGAAATTAATTGTTAAATCTTCCCATTTCTTCAAAGAACGAAGGGCAATGCAAAAGGGATGAACGAGTACCAGAACTCAACCTCAACCTTTCACTCTGATCGAATCTACAGTTTCGCTATCAAGGTTTGTTTTCCCTTCAGTTCACTGAAAATTATTTCCAATTTTGTTCATATATATACTTTCCTTTTTCTTTCCCTTCTTTTTTATTTTTTTTTTATTTTTTTTATTTTTTATGATACATGCTGATGCAATATATACCATTTGTCATGAATTTTTGTTATTGAGGAAAATGGGATCCTCAAAGATCAAGAATTTACTTTGTATTTATAATGTGTTTGATTTAAATCCCCAACTCGATGAGGTAGTTCTTGTTCATCTTATATTGGTAGCTTTGCTATAACAGGGTTATTGAGTCAACAGCTATGTCCCATCTTTTCCAGTCATCAAATTATGGGTTTTTTTCACATTCATGTTGTCAAACAATATTTTCCCATTTGAATAGAAGCAAAAGATGATATTGTTTTGTTAATTTTCTTGGGAAATTTTATTGAATCACTCACAAAGACAAAGATTTGGAAATCATTAGAAAGGGACATAAGCTAATAATGAGAGACATGAAGAATAAGACTAGAAAAGGTCACAGGTAAATGCTATGAATAAAACAACACCCCCAGATCCACCTCCTCTTTGCAATTAAGAGTGTAGGACCTCCTCCTATCTATAATCTCTTGAATGTTTCTTGGGAAATTTTTCCTGACCCCTGCTTTTTCTTTGTGAAACTGTTTCGAAGTCTCCAATTCCACTTCATGAGTCACGCGTTGTGCTCCAAAAGGCATCCCTGTTGATTTTGTTTTCTCTCATGCTTCATTGTGTTGGAGGGTTGACCCTTCTGTTGTGTTGTTTTTAGAGAAATGACAAGACAATTCTTAGCTAGAAGCATTTTACACCACCAATTTCATGCACGTATAGGGTACCAAACATTTGTCTTCGAGTTCTGTTTTCCTGTTCTTTACAACCTCTTTGATTAGGCTATTTTCTAGTTATAATTGTTAGCCTAAACTAGCTGTGTTTTAGACTTATGGTTATCTTTGACTTCTATAAATCTGTACTGAAAAAGAATGGAAGGCAATTCATTCAGCCATGAATTTTATTGTGGTATCAGAGTTATGATAGGCCTGTGGGTTATGGCATGGGTCCACAACACTGACATTTTGCCACTCTGAAGCGAAAACTAGCAAAAGAGTTTATTTTTATCAATTTGCTTTGTTTACATTTGTTTTGATGGAATTCTTTTTGGTTCTGAATTGCAGAGAATAATCTGTAGTGCAGCAACTTATAACATCTGATTTCCTTGAAAACATAAGCAATACCTAGTATATAATTGTGGCTAGAAAAGCTGCTCAGATATGGTGTTACAATCTTAGTCTTAAGGAAAAAAGTTGGGGGATTTACAGAAATTCCAAGCAAACCAACACACTCAAAGGAAAAGAAGCAACTTATACCAATACATTTATAATCAAACTTAGTTAAGACTTTCCACTATTTTGATGATGGGCTAAGATGACTCTTTCCCAAGGGAGATGGTTTTGATTCTCCTGTTCTTGGACTCTGAGGCCCTATTCCACTTGATTTAGGACTTCTTTCCCCTCTTACTTCACTAACACGAGGACTATAGGACATCCTCGGACTTCCAGTACTGCGTCTAGGATCATTTAGTGGGGTTGCAGTGGAGCTTGTGATCTTTGGACTACAAGGATGCCTGAATTCACCCCGGCTTCTAGTGATTACTTCATCTAAAATCTCCCCATCCCCTGCATAGGATGCTCCAGCTCCAATCTCTGTTTCCGTTGCCAGAGTAAAGGGTAAAGCTGGTGCCTCTTCATACTCAGCAGCATCTAAGTCTTGAAGGTGTGGCCCTTTGAAGAACTTGGGCAGGCAGTATTGTCTTACAGGGACCAAAAGCATGATCATCAAAGGAAACATGACCCCAGCAATGGGTACCCAAGTAAGTCCAAAACAGATAAGCAAATAAATTGTTTGGAAAATTGTGAATAATGCAATTGTCTTGAATGGAACAGTCTCCACAAATGTTGCGTGGTACTCCTCTAGAACTCTGCAGGAAACAAGGGCATTAGGCATATATCAAGACAAGGAGCAGAAAAGGGGTTTTGATTTTGATGATCTTACTTGTATCTTCTACTTGGAGCTGTGAAGAGTAATAGGATTCTTTCCCAAAATTGGTTTCCTGGCAAGCTTTCAATAGCCATGAAAGCAAAGTAGCCCCAGAGGACTGAAGTTGGGATCTTCTTGAGAAGGGGCATTGCTGCAACACATCCTCCCACCATTATTGCCTGAAGCAAGTTACTGACCCTCTGCTCTTTTACCTCAACAGGTAACAGATCATCAATCTCCTTCTCGATATCAAACAAAGTTTCATCTATAGGGGCATCAATATTTCCTGTACATGTTGCTGCTTGAATGGTTGATTCCTTCAATTCATTTAACCCCTGCAAAGGAAATTCCAAACTAGGATTGTTTCTCCTTTTCAAAAATTTCAGAAACAAGCCAACAAATGTAGGAAAGGAATCATACACGAAGTGAGGGCTCCTGATAGGCTAGAGGAGTCTGCATTTGATGATAGGCTTCTTGCATCTTTCCATACAACTGCCCCAAGCTAGCATTCCTTCTTATGCCCTTGCGTGCTGTTGTGACAAGTCGATTACGAAGCAACTGCATATGTTCAAATACCATTGAAGAAGATAAACTTGAAAGTTTCATGCAATTGAACAAAGGATTTTTTTGTTGGGGGAGATAGAGGAACGTTGAGTGGTCCATTACATGTTTTGACACCACATTGAAACCAAAATACTAGCCTATATTTGTTTTGTGAAGGCCCGTGAGAGTTCAACCATTTTTTGATATCATTTGTTGGAGAGACATACGACTTAGTGGGGCATTTGTTGAAGAGACATATGACTTAGTGGGGCAACATTGAGTGATTCATTACATGTTTTGACATCACATTGAAACCAAAAGATTAATATGTTAGTTTCATGGGTTTTCACATATATAAACCACTATTTCCTTCTATATTTTTTCGATATGAGATCTTTGGTTTCCTCACACTTATAAGAAAACATACTTCAACATTTTTAACATATATCTTAAAGTACAAGTTAAGCCTCATTAATTATACTATTTGTAATTAAATTTGCACAAAATTTCATCTAAGATTCAAATAAAATAAAATATAAAATGTAAAAAAATATAATATAATATAATATTTTTATTCAAAATTTGTAAAAAATTATGAATTTTATATAAAAATTTGTACAAAACTAATTAAAAATATCCTAATTAATGAGTCTTAACACATATGCTTTTAGGGTAGAGGTTTCACAAACCCTTAAACAAATTAAAAGTCTGTTCAGGTCTTTGAAGGTTGAAATACCTGGTGTTTTAATGTGGCCAGGCTTTTGGTGTGCATAGGAGATTGTGGGATGACTCCATTTGAAGGGGGGATTCCAATAAGGCCGCATAACAGTGTCTGCATCAAGAAAGCAATCAAAACAAAGAAAGAAAAAAGGGGAGGAAAACTGGGGAGAAAATAGCAGGAATTTTGCATACCAAGAACCCCAGAAGGAGCAAGTCATAATGGTAAGAAGATGGCTTTCTCAAATTGAACTCCTTCTGCTGAGCAAGCTGTGATGCTACACTATGGTCAAAGTAATAAAGCACTGCTATCATTACTGCCGGGATGAAAGCTCCGATTATGTACACCACCGGAACATTTAGCATCTCCTGTTATTTTGAAATTCAGGTATGTCAGTTATAATCTTGTTCAAGCAGAAAAAAAAAAATTTTGTTTTAGTAACTTCAGTGAAATTAACATGCCTTAACAACTGTCCAATTCTCATAACCGCCAGGCGACCACGGATTTGGGCTGAAGAGACGGCGGGGGATTCCCTTCGGAATACTTCCAGACGGTATGTAGGACACAGCTGTCCACACCAGAACCAAAAATGGCACCCCATAGTCTGCTATAAAGCTCCTAAGCCAACCTGTAAAAGTCTTTCCTTTTTAGTACTCAGAAGGATACAAGGTGATCAAGATTGGAATTCTAAACTTCAGAAGAATCCAAATTGAAAAGGCAACAGTACTTACCACAACCATACCGCCATGACCTTGCTTTCCTGCTTTTCAAAGCAGTGAACAGAAGTCCAAATGACAGAACTAGAGCAAACATGCCATTGGCAAACCTCCATGAAGGTAGAAATTCTGTCAAATTTCGGTTTTCACGTTGAGGGATGCGGAACTCACCCACAAGGCCCTGGAAATCACATACATATAAAATTCTCAAAAGTGAGATTGATAACACCAGTATTTCTTCTGAGAAGTGAACTGAAAGGAGGTGTTCTTACTTTGATAGCTTGTTGCATGAAGAGCATGGCAATAAGCAGACCAAACAGTTCTCCCGCAACTCGGGTAAATCTGTTGATTATAGAGCAAGCTCCCAAGATAGCAAGTAAGAACAACAGGAATGCAGTCCATACACAGACCCTGCATCAGTTCAAAAAAACCAGACAGATTCTGTCAAAACAGAGCTGGGCTTCTTTGATAATGGTGGGAAAAATCCTAGGAAAAGGCTTACCATGCTGTCCAGGCAAGGAAGAGGTTCCGACCCAAATCTGATCTTTCCTTAGCAAAGTTAAACATGAATGTGTACATAATGACTGTCGGCTCTGCAACTCCTAAAATCAAAAGAGGCTGACCTCCAATGATGGAGTGAATGATCCCGCAGAGGGCCGTGGATGCCAAGGTCTGAACAGCAGTCAGAACTCCATCTGAAGTCAGATTTCATGTAAGAAATTAAACTGATCAAATGGGAAAAATCTTCCCTTTTTTTCACCCCACTGTTCAGTTGAGATGATGGAAAAGTTGAAAATGAAACGAAATATATGATTCAACCAATTATATATCTAGAAAGTCTGCGTATGTGAAAAATACCTGTATTTCTCTCAAGTTGTTCGCCAAATGAAATGACTGGAATTGCGGAAGCAAAGAAAATATATGTGGTGGGAGCCAGAATCCTACAAAAATAAGTTTTATATATGATAAAGGATCAAGCATAAAGATGCAAGGATTATGATTTTTCGCTGAACAAAAGTTGCAAACAAAGAAACATTAAATTAGCATATACCTGAATCCTGCTCTGAATCCACCGGTCCAATCTTGCTTGTAACACATCAATCTTCCTCTAAGATCATTTTTAATGCCGCGAAACGGCACAAATGTCTCCTCCATGGTTTCTTCTTCTTCTATACCAAGATGTTCTTACAAATGTTTTCTTCCTTTCCTTGAATATATTTTGAGGAGGAGAAAGAAATTATATGACTTGAGCACGGCAAGGAATGTGCATATTATGAAGACCCAGAAACGAATTTAAAAGAAGATTAAAAAAGAAATGCATGAGTTGGAAATTATGTGGAGTCAAGACAAGATAGAAAGAGGAGAGAAAGGATTCAAATATATAAGCATTTCAAGCATATTCGGCGCAAAAAATAATGGGAGTGGACTTCACTATCATTATTGATTGGGTAGATTTTGTTTTTCTTTTATCTTCTGTTTATCTGGAAAAACCTCCCCAAGGTTGGCTCATGTCATCATTTACAGGACATCAGGACCCACTTAGTCGGTTTGAAGTCAGATGAGATCCATTGGATGAGTTCTTAATGTCACTGCTTAGTTGACTTTTCATTAGATCAAGCAACACATAGCTGGAGATTGCCAAGGTTACACGACTCGCAATTTTTCATTTTTAGTCCCAATAAAGTTCGATCAATCACCCCTTACCGATCTAAATCCTAATGTAACGCAACTGATGTTAGATGTATAGCACTGATATTTTGAACTTTTTCACGATTCAGGAGAAGTTAGAATTCTATAATGTATAAAAAGGGGAATTGTATGGTGTCAATTGTGAAAGATAAAACATACTACACCATTGTAGGAGGAAGGAAAACTTTGAAATATAAAGGAAATAAAAACAAAATGAAAATTAAAACGTCTTGACATTAATAATATCTGATTATAACTATTAAAAATTATAAAATATAAAGTGAATCACAATTTTATTAAATTTATTATGTAATTATTATTAGATATTATGATATTTTTAATGTTATAATATTCTATTTTTTTCTTTTTCCAAAAGAAAATATGTACGCTCCTGAGGAATCTAGTACGAAGACAAGTAGAAAACCTATTGCAATTAAGGAGAAATTTGGATTCCAGCAATGCATAAATTAAACTCTTGCTTACAGTGCAAAGGATGACTAGAAGAATGAAACCCACGAAAGTAAGGGATTTTTATAGGTTAAATGCCACTTTTATTTACTTCTTGAACTTTTAATTTAAAATTTTTTTAGTTCTTTAATTATTTTGTTACACTTTTTTAGTTTTTAAATTATGAAAAATACATTTTTAATACATTTATTAGTTAATCTTTTAAATCTGTTTAAATATTTATATTTTTAGTCTCTTAACATATATACATTTTCAGTCATTAAGTAAATTTAAGAATTAAAAATATGCATATATTAATAGACTTAATAGACTAAATAATCCAATAAAAAAAGACTAAATAATAGTATGATTAAAAAGTATATTTTTAATAATTTAAAAACGAAAAAAATATAAAAACTAAAAATATTTAAAATTAAAAGTTTAGAGACTAAAATTTGGCATTTAACCATTTTTATATGCCTAGTGTACTTGTATGATTTGTTGTCCATGTGCATGGAAGAACTTAATTATTGGTATATACCTCCCTGATTAGGCAAAAGGCTCCATTGAAAATGAAGTGTTTTGGAAGTCAACCGACTGCCATACTACAAGTGTAAAAAATTATCAATAATTCAGTTGAAAATCAACAGTTTTGTGAGATTATATAGTTTTATTGGTGCATGGACTAATTTGTAATATTAAATATATTATCTCATAAAAAAATGTATATAAATATATTATATATTTTGTCTTTTTAACATTTCGTTAGTCAAAATGATTAATTTTTCATTATGAGATATCATGGTATAGCTACATATATTTATTTACATTTCGAAGGTTAAAATTTTTTTTAAGCTGCCCTTTGAAAATGATTGGATTAAGGTTAAACCCCCATTTTGGTCCCTGAACTATTGTACGAACCCCCAATTTGGTTCTGAACTAAAGAAATCTCTAATATGGTTCTTGAATTATTGTACGGACCCTGAGTTGGTCCCTAAACTATTGTATGGACTCCCAAGTTAGTCCCTAAACTATTATACGGATGCCCAATTTGGTCCCTACTGTTTACCAATTTAACCCTAACTTGGTCCTTATGTTAAATAATAGCTCAGGGACCAAATTGGGGCGAAATTGTAAACAGTAAGGACCAAATTGGAGGTCCGTACAATAGTTCAAGGACCAACTTAGGCCAAATTATAAACAGTGGGGACTAAATCAGGGTCCGTACAATAATTTAAGGACCAAATCAGAGATTTCTTTAGTTTAGGGACCAAATCGGGGGTCCGTACAATAGTTCAGGGACCAAAATGGGGATTTAACCTTGGATTAATTAGATTATTCATTACAGCATGGTTTTTCATGAAGTCCTAGTTTGGAATTAATTTAATAGCGTTTTTCTCCACAATTCTCGTGCTTTTGAGTTTTTTTTTTTTTATTTGATAAATTTTTTGGCATTGCTTTCTTAAAAATGCTTAAATTAAACTCATGTTCTTAGAAGAATTATATGTGTGTATAAAATAAATACATTTATAAAAGGATGTAGCATCCACTTACACATTTCTAATACAAAATTTTAATTATATATTTATTTTTTATTATAAATAGTTAAATTTTATCACAATTTTTTGGAT